ACTACTCTGTATGATACTATCATGTTGGATACAGATCATTATATATTAGTCCAAACCCATAGAAAGTACACCACCAAGAGTGAACCGTAATGTAAACTATGGACTTGGGTAATTATGATATGTCAAGGTAGGTTCATCTGTTATAACAATTGTACCATTCTGGTGGTGAATGTTTATAATAAGAGAGGCTTTTCATGTGTGGGAAAGGGGATACATGCGAAATTTCTGTACTTTCTGGTTAATCTTGCTGTGAACCACAAATGAACACACTTTCTTCAAAAGGTTAAATGTCAAACACAATAGAACAAAAGGTGTCTGATATTACAAAGTTTTATCAGAAAGTTTATTCTCATCTACCAATATTTTCACAACAGAATAATGATTTAACATTTTATCACTAATAAACTGTGGAATTTTTGAGGGTAGGTACACCAGATGTCACATCAAAGATCTTCAGACAGTTACACTTAGGAGGTGATGTGAGCCTTCCATTAGGGGTGGCTTCCTAACCTAACAATCATACTTCTAAAATTAATCATAATGAAATAATAAGGAATGGGTGTTTTTAAGATTTGGGATACACATTGCATAATGTCCTCTAATGCAATTGTATCAATTTATATTTCAACATAAAAGGATATAAAATCACCTACTTTTTACTACCTTCTCTACAATTGTAAAAATTAATTTGCTTTTAAAAATGTAAATTTGATACCACAAAATTTATAGCCATTTGTCAAAGGCCGCTCCAATGCTATAATTATATTCTTTTTTTGCAGGCAACATTTATTTCCATTCTTTAAGAATATTCCAAGAGAACATCTGTTTGTACTTCAAGTTGACTAATGTAGGCTATCTAGTTTCCTTTATTCCTTTGGTTAAGCCATAATATGGATATGTGATACAGATGCATTTCTGGAGCCTTGATCACTATGCTGCAGTATCCTTGCAGTAACTGTAGAGTTCTACTCTCTTTTTATTTCCACTAAAAGTGCTTTCTTTGCAGTAGGATTTTGTGAAGCAAAGCAGCTTAGGTCAAACGCAAATGCAATGTGTTCACATTTTTATTCATTTAAAGCCTTGGTCCATTGAGCCAAATTAATATGAACATTTGGATTTTTCCCCCTTTTTCTTTCCCCTTGCATTAGTGTATCACAACAGTACAAAGCAATTTAAGAAAAATTGAGTGAAAAAAACACAAAAGAAATATAAAACAAGAAGTCAGGTAAGAAGCATTCATTGAAAACATATCATGTATAACACTATTGGCTTCTAGATAAGCAATAGAAATAGTAAAGGACAAAATAGCCTACACATTAAAAAAAAACAAACTGTAGGAATAACATCTGATTAATGGAATGATTTTTTTTAAAGATGGAAGACAATACTTTTTGCCATGTTCCAGTCTCCTTCCACTCCCTTTTCCTAACCATAAAGAAGAAGCACTTGTCTGATGAAGTCAGATTCTAGAACACCCATGGTGCCCAAATTTATTAATCTCACCAAAGTATAATCTTCAAATATCCCTCCTAACACATTTCAAGAACCTATGCAACTGGAATCAAAGAAGGCAAATGCTGTGCAAAAACCTTCAAGACAGTCCAACGTAACTCCTCTGAACCACACTGCATGCTAACCGCATCATGTAGAAATTCCTGAGCCACCAACAGGGTTGGGCTAATATATGTTTACAGCCCCTGCTCATGGGTGCGTGTTTTATGGCATTATTTATTTGTTTGTTTATTTTTTTCATCAGGCTGAAGTGGAAAGCTGATCCATAACCTGGTTAAGCATTCTTTCTCTTTCTCTGTCTTGCATTTCATTCTGTTTTCTTTTTAACCATGATGTTCAGGTAGTCTTTTGTTGGTTGAAAGGTGACATGATGTCAATTTGTGGATTTAGTAGGAGGGAAGGAGGGGCACTTTGGGGCCTATAGGCTAAGCCGTGTGCTACAGCTCAGTTTCCTTGGAGGTACTTCACTGGGGTGGGGATGGGATGTCCCAGACATAGGATAGTACCATGCTTTCCATTTAGCATAATTCATATGTATTTCTCCCTAGTGGACACTGCATGTGGAAGAATAATTCTCATTTGTGCTAAGTTTTAGATATGCCAGTGTCCTTTGCTACAGATAACTCTAATTCTTAAGATCATAACTGGACAAATCAGTCTTGATATGGCTTAAACAATGACTAATTACTTCCACCGTCTGTAGTAAAACCAAGATAATCTGATGAGACAGACATTCCTATTACTTCATTCGTGCTATGATTCCACATCTCTCTATTTATTGATCATGGATTTTCAGAAACGTGGCTAGAAGTTATCTTTATCACATTTCTGTGTGCAACCAATGCCTGACCCACTTGCTTCCCTGGTGACCACCGTGGCTTCTATTGTCCTTCCCTGAAGACAATCAAGGTAGGGCGAGACAATGATGGCTAGGCAGCTGCTCCAGAAGAAAGTTCTGCCCCAATCTGTCATCATTGCTGCCACTGAAATAGATGCAGCATCAAGAATGCTCAAGGTGAGACTAAATGGGAAACCACTTTCAGAAGTCAAGAATATTTTATCTCTCTAGATTTTTTTAGTCTCTCTAATATGTTAAATATGTTATTCCCTGTGGCAATAAAAATATGAGCATAAGGCTTATCTTTAAGGGGCTTACATGCTAACAGAAGAGGCAGAATACACAAAAATAAAACAGCAAGGAAAGTGAGACTGCAATATGGAACTGGTGAGCCAAACAGGAATCTGAATATTGTGGTTGAATCAGGTCTGAAGTCGTGATGACATGCTGTTATTAGATGTTAAGGTGAATGGGGCAGACATAGAATCCCCTTTCCTTGTGGGGAATGTTCTCATGCAATTCTGTGTATTTCAGTTCTTTGCTCCTAATATATTTAAAGTTACCTACTTGGAATAACCACTTTCTCTGCATCTGCTCTAGCAGCCGTGGTCACTACAGTATCTTCATTTAGTGTACTTCAAGCTTGTTTCCTCCAGATCTCCAGCCCCACTCTCACTCTCTACTCCCTCCTGTATTCACACTAAATACACTTGCTTAAGCCTGCAATTTTAAACCATAACACTTCCCCAGTTGATCCAATAACAATCCAACTAGAGCTGGCATGGCTCCAAATCTCACCAGATGTGGAATGGAGCTTAGAGGTGGCTTGGGGAAGGCCTGGCCTCTGACGGAATCTTGATTTTACTTGAACAAAAGGAAGTAACTGGAATAGAGGAAGATTTGGAGAATAGAAAAAATGAGTAAGAGACAGTCTCTGCACTTAAAGGAGCTAAAGACCAATATGGTACCATGGGCACATAGGGGAGGGTGGTGTTATATGGCTCATTCATGACTTATACACACCCTAACACTGTAAACTGCTCCAGGAGACGGTATGAACCTGAAGAAGGAGGAACCAGGATTTCCTTCTGGGCATCTGAGATGACACTTGGAGGAGAAATAGGATAAACTGAGAAGGACAGCCACCACAGAAGATGGAGCTTGCTCATAGCTCTCTCTCTCATATCTGTAGTCCCTGGAATTTTTCAGATTCATTAAATGAAAGAATGGACAGGAAACGTAGCAATGACAAAAACATAACTCTGTCCCTCTACTGCTGTAGACTATGATTGTTAGTGTATATTTAAATCCTCACATTCACTTTTGCTTCAAAGTAGAGGAATTGCAGTGGAATTAAAATTTCAGCTTTAGTACCTCTTCTTATGTATAAACTTTAACTTCACTATTATCCTTTAAGGTAGTGTTTTCAGATGAATGTTGAAAGTGTTTCTTGGGTCTTATAATCAGCAAAAAACATTTAGATTTGAGTTAAGGAGTGCCTTTGCATATGACCTCTGCCCGTGAGTGTTTGAAGACCCTGTAAATTGCAAGATAGTTTACTGGTCATCCTCAACCTAATATATTCTTTTTCTTTATTTTAAATTACCCACAGATTAGAAAGTACAGTACACATTTTTTTGCTCAGTGGCCAAATCTGTAGGATTATTTTGGAGCAAAACATATTTACTCTTTAAGAAGTGGCTGTGGAAGGCGACTTTATTGTATGACATCCTCTGGGGTTTGGTAGGTGCCTCCCTTTCTGATTAAAATGTACCAGCATCCCAGGTACTCTTATTTTAGATATTTATAAATATTGCCGGAAAACACTTGTCTATGAATTTGGTTTTGAAGTTTAAAATCCTTGATAATCAACATTTGTACTCCAGCTCAAAAAATAAGCAATAAGTAAACAGTAAGTCATTTTCATGTGAAATGAGAAAGAATTCGATGTCAGTCCTGTACTTCTCTAGAAACAGGAAGCTAAATCTCTCAGTACAATACTACCTTTTCTGGACACTTCAGCAGACCCTGAATCCTTCATTAAAGGGGGCATAAATACCCCATTCTCTGTTTTATTAATGTTGTTTAGGAATAATTTGGTAACAGGAAATTTATCTTGACTTGGCAACTTAGGGTTTCCAGGACACTTTCATCTCCATAGCTGCCTTTTCCCACCCACCCCAAACTGAATTGCCCGTGTGAAATATCAGGCTGTTTGCTAAGGGAGATGAATCTTTCTGTATCTGAGAAGCACACATAGTTCTCTGATTCAGCATCTCTCTCTTCTCAGCACCTGTTTTTCTCTCTAGAGGAGCTTCATTTCTACTTCTGCACAGGGAGGATGAACAAACCTTTAATTAAATTACTTGAAATTTCAGTGATGATATTTTTTGAAATGATTATGCATCTGTTCTTTAAATATTTTCACTTAACTGCTAGAATGAACTCTCTACATTTCAATGGTGGATAGTGTAATATAACGAATTTATTAGAATATATTTAATGAGGCTCTGATTTCTATGTTACTAAAGCACACAAAGTGTCCAATGCTTATGAATAACACGAAAGAGGCATTGTCAAGCTTTTAATAAGGACTTTTCTTTTTGTAAATCCATAATGTCTACAACCTATAACATAGATTCATATCTTATGGCCAAAAAAGTAGCATGACATTGGAAATAATACAGAGACTGGGCATTTTTTCTCATTAAAAATCATAAGCTTACATTTACACAATGGATATTCTCAACCAGTACCCTACACAGAAGAGAAAGCTGTTGCAGTAGTACAATATTCAGGTAGGGTAAGAGTGAAAAAGTCTCTTATGCATGTTCCTATATTGTGTGCTCTGTCCCCATTTAATATCTGCTAGACAAGTCACATAGGCCTCCCAGGGGATAGCAACAGATGATCTCTTTGAAGGTTTTCCTCAGTTCTTGACTCCGGAGTGCATAAATCAGAGGATCGATGACTGAATTACACATGATCAGTATGAGATATAAGTTAAAGTGAGACATGAAGCACACACAATATGGATTCTGAGGACAAGAGATGTAGAATATTAAGTGGAGGAAGAATGGGGCCCAGCAGACAACAAAGACGCCAATCAGGATGGTCAAAGTAATCGCTCCCTTCATATTGGCGCCTTGGCGGATGGCACCAGTGCCGGGGAGGACAGCAATCCTCTTAATGTGAAGCCTGGCCATCAGGAACATGTGGACATAGAGAGAAGCCATGAGAGCCAACATGGTGAAGAACATGGTGATGAGGCAGATGATGACAGCACTACTATCTGAGTAAATGATGAACAAAATGCCTGAAACCGTGCAAGCTGCCCAGATACAACTTATGATGATCCCAACCCGCTTAACTGTCATAATGTTATGGTACTGAAGAGCATAGAAGATAGTAAAGTACCTGTCCACTGCAATTGAAAGCAGGCTGCAAATGGATGCAAGCAAGGAGCTACAGATCACTGAGTCAATAACATTATCAATGTTCACTGTGAAACTCTGTGTGTCCGTATCTGTACTGTTTAATAGGGTGATGACAATGGTTTCTGATCCATTTGAAACGCTCACCAGCATATCAGCCACAGCCAGGCTGCAGATGAAAAAGTACATGGGTGAATGCAGATTCTTGTTCTTGGCTATTGCCACAATCACTAAGATATTCTCCAACAAGCTGATGACACCCAGTGTCACAAACACCTCAGGAGAGACAAAAAGTTGCTCGTAGCACCCTCCATCAGAGTAGCCTTTTCCAAGGGACTCACTGGCATTGCTGTGCAGTCTGTGGCTGCTGCGGTTCCAGAGGTGCAGAGAAGCGTGCATCCCACGGTGGGTGGAGTTCACCATGCTGGCAGGAGAATTCGTGTCCCCCTGAATTGATTTAGCCTCCTGGGTCAGGGAGTCGTCTCAGTTATTTCCTCCAAGTCTTTATCTGTCTGAAAGTTGTGAGGTTAAAATTGCCATGCCTGCTGTGAGTAAATGTCACAAGTCCAGAGCGTGACATGGAGTTTTTAGTCTCTTTTAGGTACGACTCTGATCATTATCACTTTAAAATCTTGGGCTTCAAAGTATTCATTCTCAGTTGAAAGAGTCTGCTCTTTGCTTTTTTGTTCTCACTTCTGCTTTAACTTTAATCTTATGCATTCAAGTCTGTTCAAAACAATTTTCCTAGAGCTGCCATGCCATTGGGAGACGAATCTGTGCACACATGCTCACATCGGCTGCCTCGCGGAAGCTTCTGTTTCCAGCCTGAGCATTGCTTTGAGTGTGAGGGGCTGTAGGTGCCAGCTGCTGATTTTTATGATGTGTGGAGGGAAAAAAAAAACATGTTCACAGTGGCTCCTCCTCTGCTTCCTTCTGACCAATCCTAATGCAGTGGGAGTCTGTGAGACAGGATTGTTTCAGAGACACAAATTGCAGGGCGACACAGATTCAGAGGCACAAGCTCCTGAAGTCTGAAGTCTGAAGCAAGCCGGATAAGAAAGCCTGAATTTCCCTTTTCAAGTTTTTAAGGGAAACAACTTGATCCCTAGAGGCCATTCCGTGATACCAAAACAACCTATCTTGATGCAGCCAGGTTCATTCTTATGTAAAAGAGAGACATCGTGTGTGTGTGTGTGTGTGTGTGTGTGTGTGTATGTGTGTATAAAATGAAATGGAAAGTATACTGTCCTATGTTCCTGAAACAGATACTCTGGTTTTTGGCTAGGATACTGAATTTATTTACCCTCTTAATTTTTTTGTTTTTATTAAGAACCCTGCAAGTAGTGCTTCAATTTAAAATACCTGAAACACAGAGAGGATATTTAATGATATAGATAGACATGGTATGGCTGGAAGAACTATGTAGGTAGCTATAAATTATGAATGGGTTCAAAAAGGGGTTGATTTTAATGTACTAATATCCCATATTTCTCTATTGAAGAGTTTCGCTTATACCTGAAAACAGGTGCTTTTTATTTACAATATTTTAAACTACATTACGGCATTAATGTAACTATGCTTACTCTGAACTCAGGAAAATAATAATTAAGCTGCATTCTGTTTTTTTTTAAGCAACTTTTTTTCAACCTCCATAGTTTAATGCTTTGTAAGTTGAATCGACAAATACCTTAGTAAGTTTAGTTGTCAAGCCAAGACTGGTGATGCTATTTACTGAAGTTTCTGAATACTTTGCATAAGGTGGTTTGAAAGATCACAGCAAAGTTACTTTCCAAATTAATTAAACACCAGATTATATGAAATTTTGTATATTGTTCTTTTCTTCTATGGTTATTTTTGATTTTAGTGCTCTATAGTTTGTAGCTGCTTATTTCAGGGTTAATTCTGAATCTCAGTTACTTAGGTTGGGAATGTATCCTCTTTCCTTTTGTGACAGAGATAATACTAAGTATTGTTCCTGAGTTTTGAGCTAAATGAACATCTTCCATCCTGCCTTGGAATTGGGTGGGACCTTATGACTAAATTCTAGCTAATGGAATGTTGGCAGTGAGGCTCATCGCATTAGCTCTTTCATAATTTTACACAAGGTTCCTCTCCTGTCTATCAGTAGATAACTATACGGCATCTTTGAAATCTTATGCTGCAGGTGGCTGGACCATATCATGAAAGGAGCCTGTCTCTTAACGATTGCACAGAGCAGAACTCACACCTCCAACTCCCTTCTCCTGTATTGCTGAATGCCTAATCATCTGTATATTGTAAAATGTTGTTGGGATGGGGTGTTCTGAACATCATGAGCTGGAAATAATCTTACCTTCCTCTTGCCTTATTTTTTCTCTTTTTAAAAATGGTCATATAATTCACATACCAAAAAATTCACCTCTTTAGTAATTAAGTAGATTTTTGGGGGAGTATATTCACAGAGCTGTGCTATAATCATCACTTTCTATTTCTAAAACATTTTCATTATCCCATTAGCAGCTCCCCAAATTGCCCTTTCCTCATCCTCTAGAAACTGCTAATCTACTTTCTGTCTCTATAAATTTGCCTATTTTGGACATTTTATATGATTAAAATAATGCAATATGTGGTCTTTTATGGCTCACTGCTTTCATGTAGCATAATATTTTCAAGGTTTGCCTCCACTATAATGTGAATCAGAATTTGATTATTAAAAAATTGAAAGAGGATCTTGCTCTATCACCCAGACTGGAGTGCAGTGGCATGATCATGACTCACTGCAGCCTTAACCTCCTAGGTTCAAGTGATCCTCCTGCTTCAGTCTCCTGAGTAGCTGGGACTATGTGTACCATCACACCCAGCTAGCTTTTAAAAACGAATTTGTAGAGATTGAATCTCATTATGTTGTCCAGGCTGGTCTCAAACTCTTGGGCTCAAACAATATTCCCATCGCAGTTTCTCCAAGTGCTGAGATTACAGGCATGAGCCACTGCACCCAGTTTTGATTTGTTTTTATGGCTGAACAATATTGCATTGTATGTATACGTTATATATATATATTTTGTATATATATGTGTATATATGTATATATGTATGTATGTGTATATATGTGTGTATATATGTATATAGTATACTTTTTATATATGTACATGTGTATATATATGTATATAGTATATATGTGTGTGTATATGTACTTTTTCTTTTTTTTTTTTTTGAGACGGACTCTCGCTCTGTCACCCAGGCTGGAGTGCAGTGGTGTAATCTCAGCTCACTGCAAGCTCTGCCTCCTGGGTTTACACCATTCTCCTGCCTCAGTCTCCCAAGTAGCTGGGACTATAGGTGCCTGCCACTGCACCTGGCTAATTTTTTGTATTTTTAGTAGAGACGGGGTTTCACCGTGTTAGCCAGGATGGTCTCGATCTCCTGACCTCATGATCCGCCCGCCTCGGCCTCCCAAAGTGCTGGGATTACAGGAGTGAGCCACCGTGCCCGGATGAATACATTATATTTTTAAATGTATTCATCAGTTGAGGAACATTTGGGTTGTTTCCAGTTTTGACTATCATGAATTATGCTGCTAGGAATATTTATGGACAAATTCTTATGTGACATATGATTTCAATTCTTTTGGGTACACAACTAGGAATGGAATTGCTGAATCATATGATAACTCTGTTTCTTGTTTTGAGGAACTGCCAAACTGTTTTCCGAAGTGGCTGCACCATTTTACATTTCCAATTAGCAATGTATGAGGGTTCAAATCTCTTCACATTCTTGCTAGCACTTGCTGTTGTCCATCTTTTAAATTTAGCCATCATAAGGATATGAAGTGAACTCTCATTGTACTTTTGATTTTCATTTCCCTAATGCCTAATGATACTGAAGATGATTTTATGTCCTTACTAGTTACTTGTGTAATAATCTTTGGAGAAATGCCTATTCAAATCCTTTGCCCATTTTTAATTGGATTTTTTTTTTTATTATTGGGTTGTAATGGCTCTTTACATATTCTAGGTACTTTTGCCATTTCAGTTATTGATAGTGTTCTTGAAACCACAAACCTTTTAATTATGATGATGTTAAATTTATCAATGTGTTTTGGTTACCTGAGTTTTTGGGATCATATCTAAAAAAGGATTGCCTAACCCATGTTTATTAAAGTTTACACTTACATTTTGATATCTTCTGTTTGATGAGAAATTGCTCTCATAATTTCCTTTAATTTTTAGATACAGTTTTCAGTAATCCTTTGAACATATTTGCACTGATTTAAAGACTTTATTTATTAAGTGCAACGTCTAGACTTCCCCAGGAATAATTTCTGCTGACTTCCTTTTCCTAATGTGTATGTGCTATATTTTCTTATTTATCTGCATGCATTTATTTATTCATTTTTGTTAGAAACTGGAAATTTTGAATAATACAATCCAGCAACCCTGAAAATCAGATTTTCTCTCTTACCCGGGGTTTGTTATTGTTGTTTGTTATTGTTGTTCAGTAATTTTTCTGAAATAATTCTAAAAAGTATGTATTCTTTGTCTTGTATAATCAATGAGGTCTTTGCTCTGATAGCTGATTGGTCAGCTGATGAGTGGACAGAGATTTCCTTAGATGTCGGGGACCAACATCTCCCTTAGTCATTGCTGAGAGACTCCGTGTTCATGGTGGGCATGCCTTTGACACTTAGCCAGGCACCAGGCAACTCTGCCTTGCCCTTACTTTCTGCTTACACACAGCCACCAAGGTCAGCCAGAGGTGAGAGCTCAAGGCCTTCTTAGGGTTTTTTGTTTGTTTGTTTGTTTGTTTTGTTTTTTTTCTGATCATAAGTACAGTCCTGTATATGTGTATGGCTTTCTAGATCCTCAGGGATATGTTAGAGTTTTTATAAATTCCTATGGGCATCTCATTTTCTTGAACTTTTTCTTTGTAAGCTTTTTGAATAGCTGATTATTTTCGCCAACTTCTATCCATTGCCTCAGGCAGCCGTGATGTTAAGCAGTTGTTCTGATTGTTTCTAACAAATGTCCCTGAGGAAAAGACTGTTCTCCGTGAGTGAGTTCTGAGTTAGGTCAAATAAGGAAGCCCTGCAAGTAGAGTTTGTCGGGAAACCAACAGATAGGTCAAAATAATGATGGCATCTCTGGTAAAGGGAATGGGGCTTTGAAGAAGATCCAGCCCCATTTTGCACCCTCCATTTCCTGCTAGGCTGCTGCTTTTAAACATTTTTACAGAATGTTAGCTGTCAAAGCTACTGCAGAGTCGGTGAGTTGGGAGTGGGAAAATATGTCTAGTTAAAATGCTCCAAGGTTCACTCCTCTTACTGCAATTTAGCCATTTTCCTGAATAAATTTACCTTGGCTTATTTGAAGTATTGGTCAATTTTCAGAGTTCTGAAAGTGTTAATTCTGACAAGTTTTGCAAGTGCTCTAGTTGCTTTAACTGATGAGAGACTTTTCAATCATCCTGATGCTATCATTTTCACTCTCATCTTCCATCCATTGCCTTTTATCTGAAAAAAGATTAAATTATATTAGATTCATCTATGACAATTTTCTTCCCTAACAGACTATCTGATAAATGATCAAATAGTTATTTCATACTTATTCTAAATCCTGTGTAAACTTTGCATATAAAAACAGAATAAAGGAAGTGGTTAAAAATTTGAATAAAATAGAAATATTAATTCAGAAATAATAGGTAAAATTAATAATAAAGAACAAAATTACTCCCTTAAAATTTTTTTCCCATGAAAATGTTTTATGAACAAAAGGATCACACTGAAGTCCCAGAAAATCACATATCCTTAACAGCAACAATTTAATCATTGGGTATAGATTTATAAGATCTTTATTGTAAAGTTAATTGTGCTAAAAAGATGATCTTC